AAGGGTCACCGGACCCCTCTGCCCCCCCCGTTTCTTCCTGAGTGCGTTTTGGCCGCTGGTGCGTTTCAAGGAGTCCGTTTCACCTGCACCAACGCGACATCGTTGGCATAAAGTCCCCGGTGTCCTCCGGCTGCTCCTTAACCCCTGCCGGCTCTGTCCCACCGCCTCCCGCGTCCCGGGGGCGGGCGATGACCGGCTTTCCTTCTCGTCGGGAAGGCCTGCTGGGTTCCACGGACTTTCCCGACCGCCGGCGCCCACCCCGCCGACTCCCCTGCCGGCGGCTCCCCGTTTTCCTGGCTGCGCCCCGGCTCTCGCGTCTGTGTTTCCCCCGCTCACGTCGGGTGTCGTCGGCCCTTGTTTTTCCGATTCCGTCCGTCACGAGGAGGCTGGGGCCGGCGACCAGAGCTGTTCCGGACGTCGCTTTAAACTTGGCTCGAAGCACCACCTGCCCCCGTTTGGAAACGTTGTGTTTTCCTTTTCATTCACTTGGTTCCAGCCGTCTCAGATTTGAATCGGGTTATTTTGATTTTTTTTTTTTTTTAAATTTTCAAGCATTCGGAGGTTTCCCAGACATGTTCCCCTTGCTGGTCTGACCCAGTCCCGCGATGGCCAGGGAACACACTTCGCATAACTTGACTCCTTCTGCATTTCCCCAGGACTGTTTTGTGGCTCGTCGCGCAGTTTCATTTGGCAACTGTTTCTCCTGCCTTTAAAAGCAACGTGTACTTTTCTGTTACTGGGCGGAATTTCCTACCCACCTCAGGTCGAGTTGGATGAGAGTGCCATGTGCCGTGTTTTGCCTTGTACGATGTGCACTTTTTTTGCCCAGATCTCTGAGGGAGAAATAAGGACGCACACGATACATGGGTACAGTGATTCCATACCAGGGGTATCATAATCTGTGTATCGTGTGCATGACAACGTGGGCACGCATTATACACAGTGAATTAAAATACAGTAACTGAGCCCTGGCTGGCGTAGCTCAGTGGATTGAACACGGGCTGCAAACCAAAGTGTCGCAGGTTCAATTCTCAGCCAGGGGTACATGCCTGGGTTGCAGGCCATGGCCCCCAGCAACCGCACACTGATGTTTCTCTCTCTCTCTCTCCTTCTCCCTCCCTTCCCTCTCTAAAAATAAATAAATAAAATCTTTAAAAAAAAAAGAAACATGGTAGCTGCTGTCTGGGTTCCCAGTCCTCTGTTCACCTGCCCGCTCCCACGCGAGGGTGGGAGGCTGGTGGCCTACCCTCCCTGTGCTGGCAGGTCTGTCTCTCCCTCTCCTGCGGGTCTACCATTCAGGGTGGTGGGAGCCTCTCCACTGACCCCTCCGTTGTTATGAGTGACCTTGATCCTGGGCATGGCCTCTGTTCAGAAAGCTACTTTTTCCGACGCTCACACGGCCGCTCCCGCCTTCTTTGCCCCTGTCCCCCGTCTGTAAGAAGCCGGAGCCCTGAGGCTGTTGGAGGGGCCAGTCTCTGGGGGGGGGGCGAGGTCACGGGCGTGTTTCCTGGGACCCCCCCACCCTCTGTTTGCTCTCTTCTCCACCCCGAGTCACTCAGGGGGCCGCTCCTGTCCCTGCGCATCGGGGTCAGAGAGGGCGGCCTGGAGGCCTGGCCCGTCTCCAATGTGTGTCCCGCCTTCACGGCCTCACGTGCCCACGGGAGTGAGTGTGGGGTGTGGGGTGAGCCTCCTGGATGGAGGACAGCGTCCCCAGCGGGTTGGGCCGGGTCCCAGGGTCACAGCCCCGGGAGCCCCTGTCGGCCCCCACCCTCGGGAGAGGCCCAGGCTGGAGCCATGTGTGAAGGCAGAATCCGTGGAACCGGGCTGGCCCGTGCCCCCCTCCCACTCGAGGGCCAGCCTTCGGGGAGCGGCCACCTCTCTCCGGCCTCAGTTTACTTGTCTGTCACCTGAGGCGAAGGTTCTTTCAAATGTGGGTTTCGTTCTGATTCATCTCCGGCGGGGCCAGGGGATCAGGACACAGCTGCCACGGAAGAGGTGGTCTGTTCGAGTCCCCAAGGCCAGGGACAGGTGGCGCCACCCAGGGCCACACCAGGACACCGGGGTGGCGCAGGGGGCAGGGGGAGGGGAGGACGTGGGCCTTTATTGTGGTTTCCGAGGGAAGCGGGCGAGCAGGTGTAGAGCTGGCTAATTTGGGTAATTTCGTCGGGCTCCGAGGCGTCGGGGCTTTCCCCGTCTGTCTGAGGCCGGCCCTGCGCAGGGGGGACGGCAGGAGACGGCCGCCCTGCTCGTGACAGGGGATGGAGGGAGCTGGGCTGCGGGCTCCAGGCCGGCCTCGCGCGACGGGGGCCGGTCCACAGTCAGACGCGCTGAGGGTGCGCCTGCCACCACGTGGAAGGACCTCGAGGCCAGTGCGCCGACGGTGTAACCCAGACGCGGAAGGAAGGGCGGCGGAACTGCGTGACCGCACGCACAGGACGGCCCTGGAGGGTCCGACTCACTCCGAGGGGTGGGGGGGGGGGGGCGGGCCTGCCTTGCTGACAGCCCGGCGACAGCTCCGGGAGGAGACCCGGGCGAGGGCAGAGGCCGGGAAGGAGTGTGGCCCGGGGCGGGTGTCCGGGCGCAGCCAGCCGGCCCTCGGCAGAGCCTGACCACGAGGTGGCACACCGGGAATTCTCCCCTCGGCTCTGTTGAGAGGCCGCCCACTCGCACCGTACAGTTCTCGCATTTAAAGTGCACAGCCGCGTGGCTGTCACCTCCCTTGCGGGGCTGTGCGGCCGTCGGCACGGCCGCCGCTAGACCGCCTCCTCACCTCGGAGGGGACCGGCACCTGTGGGGCCTGAGCTCTCCCGCGGGGACCCAGCATGCAGGGCGAGGACCCCGGGAGGCCCAGTCGCCCGCCTGGCTCCCAGCGGAACTCGGGGGGAGAGAGACACCCCCCACCGCCCACCCCCCACAGAACCCTGGGAAATAACGAGCCGTCATCCGAGCCACCAGCACCAGGGTGGCCTGCTCCGTGGGGGTAGACAGGGAGGGTCTCCAGGCCCCAGAGGCCGAGCGGACGCCCAGCCGGGACCCTCCTCAGGACCCTGCTGGCAGGACTCAGAGACTTTCCTCGAACCCAGGCCGGGGCAGGGGAAGGAAGGCAGGCAGCTCCACCCCTGGCTGAGGTGTGCCGCGGGACCCGCAGGGCAGGGCAGGGCCTGGGGCCTCGCCCGGGGGGGAGGCGGGGGGAGCTGGGGCTCCTACACCCTGGAGGGGAAGAAGGCGGGGGCCCCCCCTGAAGTCTGAGGCCTGGCGTCCATTTCTGTCTGGAGCGCTCTTCTGGCCGGAGGTGCGGCTGGGCGGCTCTGGACACAGCCTGAGCTTCCTGAGTCAGTGTGCTCCTAGGACGACGCAGCCCCAGGCCTACCTGCTCCGGGCAGGTGCCAGCCCCTGGGGTCACTCCGCGGGCAGGCCCGAGGGCCCGGGGCCACCTGCCTGGGAAGCCCCGCAGGGAGACAGGCAGGCGGGAGCCAGTGGCACCAGGCCCGCCACAAATACTCCCCGGCTGCCCTGCCCCAGGTGGTGGGGCGCCGGGGCACCAGGGCGGAGGGGGTCTGCCCCATCACCCCCTCCCTGCACAGAGGTCCTGGCCCAGGCGGGTCTGGTGACCCTCGAGGAAAAACCAGCACCGCTAAGTCCGCTCCGACCCGGACACTTCCCCTCCGTCAGTCAGAGAGAGACCCCGTTGCCCCACTTCCCCAGGGAGTCGGCCCGCCGCTGCCCGGCACCCTCCCTCCACCGCCCGCCCGACCTCAGAGCCCTTAGGGCGGCAGGAGAGGGGCACCAGCTGAGGATGGGAGGCTGAGGCTACAAGGGGGGTGCTGCGGTAAAAAAAGGAGAGGGCCACGAGCTGGTAGGCCCCTGCGTGTGCGACCCTGGCAAAGGAGACCCGGACCGCAGGAAGATTTGGGGGAAATATGGGACAACAAGGGAGCCGTGGCGGTGGGGCACCGTGCACAGCCGCCCCGGGTTAGTGTTGGGGTTAGGGGTCCCATGCTCCAGGGCTCCCGCAGGCCCAGGGCGCACGCAAACCACAGGCAGGGAGTGTGCGTTAGAGGCTGGGGAGAAGGCACTCCAGGCACCTGAACCCCAACTTCCCTTCGCCCCACCCGACCCCAGCGTGCCAGGTCCCAGCTACTCCTCAGGCTCCGCCCCACCCAAGGGCTACATCGCCGGCTCCCATCCAGGGTGGAGGATTCACAGGTGGGCAGCTGGCGGGGGAACAGGTGCGCTTGGGGGTGCGCCCCCACCGTGCACTGGAACCCCCGGTCGCAGGGGGAGGGACCAGGAGGGGCAGAGCGGCAGCTTTGTTGGAGGCGCCACGCGCCGAGCACACGCTCTTCCTCCTGGGGGCCGGGCACGGGGCCCCGCCCGCAGCTGGCGGGTGAACGGGCGGCCCGGCCCGGGATTGGCTGAGACCCGGGCCTCCGCCTTTCCACCGCAGGGGGCTGGGGTGCGGGCACCGGCGGCTCAGCGCGTGCGGCCCCCGGGGATCTCGCACGCCCTGGGTACAGCTGTGCAGGCCCAGCGGCCACGCCCCCCGCCCCACGGCCCGCGCTGCGCGTGCGGGCGACTGGCAGCTCCGGGGACTAACAGCCTGCGCGCAAGGGTGGGGGTACGGGACTGTGGCAGACCTCGGGACTGCACTGGGGGGGCGGGGCAACAGTCGCACCCGGGACCTGCTGACGGCACCTGGAGGTGGGCGGGGGGTGGGGGGCGTTGCTCACGGGACTTGCATAATGTGTCTTGGGGGGCGCACTGAGCGCTTGCTGCGAGCGGGGGTCCACCGGGGACCTACGGACTGCACCTGAGGCGGGGGCGCACCATGGGCCTGCGCACTGTTCCCCGGGGATGGGGTTGGGGGCGCGCTGTCGGCTCGGTCTTTGCAAGTTGAGTGCGCAAGGGGGAGGGCGGAACGTGGCGGGAGGGCGAGGCAAGGGAGGGAGGGCGTGAGAAAGGAGGCGGCGGCCGCGCGGAGGAGGGTTATCTATACATTTAAAAACCAGCCCGTCTGCGCCGAGTCTAGAAGGCCTGGGGAGCGTCCGACTGCACGCGCTAGACACGAGCGCCCCACGCTCCACCGCGCGCACGGCCCAACATCTCGGCCTGTTGCGGCTCGCTGTCCCAGACCTCAGAAGACCTGAGTCGCGCAGTGCCACAGGCCCCCTTGTGGCTTGACCGGCGACCCACCGCCCCCCGTTCTTCGGCCCGCATCTCTCTGCGGTGCGCAGGGCCTCGGAGGAAGCTCCGGGCGAGTGGCTGCGGGTGCGATGGACAGAGGCGCGCTGCCCCGGCTCGAGCCCCTCACGCCTGGCGTCTCCGGCGGCTGCGCCGTTCGGCCGCGACCCGCGTCCCCAGAGCTGCTGCGCTGTAGCCGGCGGCGGCGGCCGTGCGCGGAGGAGACCCGGGGCGGTGCGGCGGCCGTGGCGCGGCGCAACGAGCGCGAGCGCAACCGCGTGAAGTTGGTCAACTTGGGGTTCCAGGAGCTGCGGCAGCACGTGCCGCACGGCGGCGCCAGCAAGAAGCTGAGCAAGGTGGAGACGCTGCGCTCGGCGGTGGAGTACATCGGCGCGCTGCAGCGCTTGCTGGCGGAGCACGACGCCATGCACTCCTCGCTGGCCGGGGGTCTGCTGGCGCCAGCCGCGCTCCCCGCAGCGCCCCACGGGCCGCCCGGGACTCCCGCGGACGCCGCCTCGCCCTCCTGCGCCTCTTCGTCCCCTGGCTGCGGGGGCAGCTCGGAGCCCGGCTCCCCGCGCTCCGCCTACTCGTCCGACGACAGCGGCTGCGATGCCGCGCTGAGTCCCGGGGAGGGCGAGCTGCTCGACTTCTCCAGCTGGTTAGGAGGCTACTGAGCGCCCCGCTCCGCGAGGTAAACGCTGGGCGGCGGGGAAGAGCGGGGGTCGGAGGCTGGGGAGGCGCGGAGCGCCGGGGCCGACAGGACCCCCTGCCTCTCGGCCCGTGCCCCAGACCGCCAGCGGAGTGGAGGGCCGGGCCCGGGGAGAGCTTCGATTTCGCTCACGCTTCATTTTCCCTCAGCTTTTTCAAGCCTGAGCAAGACCGGCGTTGTTTGTCCGCGATTGCAAAACTTCCTCTCGCTGCTGCGCCGCGGAAGGGGGCGGGAGGAGATGGGGTGGCGGGGGGCGCGGCCCTCGGGCGGGTGCAGCCCGCGGCGCGAGCGGATCCCCGGGCAGAGCGGGGTGCTGGGAGGCGGGGTGAGTTTGCATTGCAAATCGCGCTCCCGGGACGGGTGGCAGAAATGAGTCGGCGCTGCTGCGGCCCTGACTCACCGCGGCTGCCGCGCTGCCCCGCCCCCCGCCCTGGCTGGGGCCGCAGACCGCCGCCGAGGCACCCACGGAGTCGAGCTCCAAAACCAACCAAGCAAACGAAACTGCCGCCTTCGCGGCGTGTGGGGGAGGTGGCGGCAGGGCCGGATCCCGCACTAACGTGAGCCCTGGTCTCCCTTGCCTCCGCAGCTGAGCCCTGGATGCCGAGGGCGAGGGGCGAGCGCGCCCGGCCCCTGGGAGCCGGCGCGGTGGGCGCCTCCGTCCGTCCCCGCCGCCTGGCGAGCCGAGCCACCAGCAGGCCCGGACCCCGAAGGATGGCGCTCCCCTAGTCGTCCAGCCTGACCACGTGCCCGTTTGCACTGCCCGCCCCCCCTCGCCTGGGTGGCCGGCCTCCGACGCTGACCGCCGGGGTCCCCCTGGGCTGAGGCCGGGGCATGCACACGCCCATGCACACGCACACGCACACGCACACTTGGAGGTTTTCCTGAAGGGAGAAGAGTTTTGAGGACACAGAGCATCGCTTTCTCACGTTGACTCTGCACGGCCTGGGTCGCTGGCGAGCTGGCAACGCCTTTGCTCGCAGAGACCCCGGAACTTGGAACACAATAAAGAGGGTCCACCTGGCCTCACCCCGGCTACCTGGAGTTTTTCTGCCTGGCCGAGCTGTCTGTGGACGTGGCAGCCCCTGAGGGACCAGCGGGTGCCTGGCAGGGGTCCCCAGGCAGCCCCCAGGCTGAGGGTGGGGAGAGGCCTGGGTTGGCCACGCTCTGAGGGCCGGCAGGCTCAGTAACCCAGGGCTGTGTCTCAGCAGTGTCAGGGGGCTGCCCTCTCCAGACCCTTGGGCTCCCCAGCCCCCAGGGGAGGGCTGGGCACCGGCGGGAGGGTCACTTCTCCCTGGGCCCCCCCCTTGCCTCCTAGGGTGGGGGGAGAGGCGTGAGGTCTGGAGCCCGACTGGCGTGGAAGAAACCAGGGCACCTCCTGCGGCCGGGGGCTTCCTGCAGCGGTCAGTGGGCTGGGGGTGGTCCGGGCAGGGCCCTTCGAGGTTGGAAAGTTGAGGCCTGGAGGCTGCTGACCAACACGGGGGGCTGGGGCCCCTGGCCGGGCTGCCTGGGAGTCAGAGCTCCGAGTCCTGCCACCTGTTGGGGGACCCGGGGCCAGTGGCTTGGCCTGCACAGGGGGGCTGGCGGCAGAGCCTGCCTGCAGGGTGCAGTGGGACTTAGGAGAAGGGACGGGCACCCTGCCCCAGACTCCCTGCCCCTGTGCCTGGAGCCCCAGCCTGCGCGCGTGGTGCCGGCCTCGGGGGCCAGGGCGGCGGCAGCAAGGCCCCAGCCGCCGCCCCACCCCCCGCCACGACATGGTGTGACAGCGCCCCGGAGAAAAACGGGGGGCCCCCACCCCCAGAACCCCCCTGCTCAGAGGGCCCTCGGAGAGATTGCTCAGCTCTACCTTTGACCTGGGCCTCGGCAGCTTTGAAGTGCAGGCTGCACCCAAAGCTCTCTTTTATTGCAGGGGTGGGGGCGGGGCTGGGGGGGATCCCCGGCACCCCTTCAGCAGGGAGTGGTTGGTTCAAAGCCGTAGCAACCCTGGGAGGCTGGCAAAGAGCAGATGCCTTCTGGGTAACCACGGAGACAGGGTCCTGGGGCTGGCGTGGCCCCGGCTGGGGTCAGCAGGCCGGCTGTGGCTCGGGGGCTGCAGGGTGGAGGGGACCGGCCTCCTCCGGGGGACAGAACGGGCATGTTGCACACAGGGCCCCCCCCCACCCCCGCCGTCAGCCTGCTCCCAGGGACCTCACCGAGCCTCAGGGCCCGGGCTCTCCTGCAACCCCTCACCTGGACCCCAGGCAGGGAGCGGTGGAGGTGGGCAGGGTGGGAACATACCTGGGTCTAGGGGAGGGGAGGACCCTGCGGGCAAAACCGCGCGGTCTTATCGCCCGGAATTCCAGGCGCGCAGACACTCTGGAACCTCTCCCGGCCCCTTCCCTGCGGCGGGACTTGGGTCGGTGGGAACGCTGCCCTCGTGAGGCGCTCGGTCTGGCGGGAACGCGGCACCCGGCCCGCAGGCGGCGGCCTGGAGTCGGTCCGAAGGCCGCCCGCGGGGAGGCCTGCCGGGCCGGGGGGGCCTCTGGGGGGCCCCCCCACCCCGAGCGGCGGCACTGCTGCCTGCACGTGCTTTTGAAGCAGACCCCCGACGCCGCACCCACACGCCCGTCAGTTCTCAAAGGAAACCCGGTGCGGCTCTCGCCCAGACAGACACCTGTCCCTTCATTCACTCCCTCAGACGCCCAGCCGGTGGCTCGGGCCTCCGGGGGTCCGGGGTTTGCGGGCCGGGGACCGGCCCCGGGCCCTGCGCCGAAGCGTCTCGGCCGTCAGCGTTTGTGGGCTGAAGAAGCAGGTCCCCCGTTCTGTGGCTTCTCCCGAGCCCCGGGGACCGCCCGCCCGTCCCCGCGCCCTCTGTGAGTCGGGGGCGGGGTTCAGGCGCAGACACCCGATCGGGTGCCTGCTTGGTTTGGGTCCCCATGGCCGCGTCCCATCAGCAAACATGGGGTGGCAGGTCACCAGTTGTCCAAGCGGGGACGCTTTTTGAGAGGGGTGTCCTGTGCTTGGTGACCAGCCAGGACACCGGTTGTGTCACCTGGGTACGGTGGCCTGCCTGCCTGCCACTCTCGTTGGAGCGCCCCCCCCACAGCATCCCATCCCCCTCCCCAATCACAGAGTCGGAATGTGGGCTCCCGGAGACCAAGGGCCTGCGGTCATGGGGCCCGCGTTCCTCAGTCCCCCCGGAGTCCCCTCCCAGGGTGAGGGGCTGCCCGAGGCCATCTGGGGAGGGCGCCTGAGCCAGCCCGCCTCCCAGCTCTGCTCGCCAGGGCAGAGCCCCACCGGGCCCAGGTGGCCCCGGCCTTGTCCACGCCTAGAAGCCGATTCCAAGGGGAAGGTGCCCAGCTGCTGGAGGGTGGCACTAGGTTGGGGACGCTGGGGACCCCCAATCCATGGGATGGGGAAATGGCGCTTTTGGCCCTGGGGTGAGGCTGGGGCGCCGGGGTTACTGTCACAGGGACTCCACGGAGTGACACTGGTAGGTGGGTGCATGGAGGGGGCGGCACAGCCCCGACGACCAGACCAGACCCCCCGGGGGACACTCGGGGCACCTTGTTCTTGTCTGGACACCGTGGGATCCCCAGAGGGCCCTACACTGGTGTCCTGGGTCTCTGCGGCCGGAGCGTGCCCCAGCCTTTGTCCCGAATGTGTCAGGACCTGGACGTGTCCCCCTGGGCTGTCCACGGGGGGGCTGTGCGGACACAGGGCTGCCCCGCTGGAGGCCAGCACAAGCACAGGGCCCCGGGCTGGCCGAGGCCCGTCAGCCGGTGGCCCTCCGTCCGCCCCTTTCCCGGGTCACTGCTTGTCCCCGACGTGGGTGGCTCCCGCCGACGGTCTCTCGGGAGGGGAGGCGGTCAGCCCCGACCCCTGGTCCACGGAAGGGACCCAGAGTGGGAGCAGGTACACTGCTCGGGCACAGGGGGGCCCAGGGGACTAAGGGGACGGGCACGGGTCAGGGGTGGCGCTGGCCCCGCACCGGCCTGCCTCCCGGCCCCACCGCCCCTCCTTGCATGGGCCCCGGGGGCGGGATGAAGAGCGGGGTCGGGCGACTGGGGGGCGAGGAGTAGCAGGGCTGCTGGTGCCTCCCCCAGCAGCAGGGCTGGGGCAGGCGGGGCGGGCGGGGTGCTCCGAGTGCACTCCACAGAAATGGGGGTCAGGGGGCCCCTCAGGGCCTGACTGATGCCGTCCTGAGTGATGGGGGAGTGATGGCAGGGGGACAGGCCCCCAGGAGCCCAGCCGCTCTGAGAGCGCCTGTCCCCGCATCCAGGCCCCCGCCCGGAGCCGCAGTGACGGGCCCGAGGGTGCAGGCGCCAGAGGTGCTCGGGGTCCAGAGCTGACCGGCCAGGCTGAAGCCTCGTCCACTTCCCGTCATGCCTCCTGGGGCCCCACAGCTGCCCGGAGGGCCTGTTGCTGCTGGTTTTCCTCTGGGACCAGAGGTGGAGGCTCCGTCAGCACCGAGGGACAGGGAAGCCGGGACACCCACTTGGGCCACCGGAGGCCCAGCCCTGGGTGCTGGACGGGCGCCGAGGGCTCTGTCTGCCGCCCGGGCTCCTCCTGGGCCGGGGCTGAGTAAGAGGAGGGGGGTAGAGAGTGGGCGGATGGAGGAGTGTTTGTGAGCTGCGCCCTGACGCCCCCCAACCTCCCAGGGCCCCCAAGGCTCCTGCCCGGCACCCCCCGCAGCCCCAAGGCCCAGCTGCTGGCTGTGATCGATGGCGCGGGCCCGTCGGCAGGGGCCTGGGGGCCCTGGATGCCACACGGCACGGCCATCCGCCGGCCAGCCTGGCCTCCGGCGTTGCCCCCTGCTGAGGCGGGGACCCTGGCCCCCCGACACAGTGAGATAGGCCTTTGTCACCACAGCTCTGAGCTCCCAGCTTCCCAGAGGCGGGGAGGGGCCTGCTGGGGGGTCACTCTGCCAGCTGTCCCCGCCCAGCAGCCCCTGCCCAAGGCCGCACAGCAGAGGGAGGGAGAGACAGGGAGCATGCCTGGTTGGCTCGCTGGGCTCAGGGCTGGCCAGACCCCTGGGACACACGCAGGGGGCCGGCGGGGCTGGGAGCCAGGTCCGGCCCGCCCGCTTGCTGTCAGCAAAGCCCTTTGTCTGCAAGGGCCAGGAGAACCCATGGCTCATGCACCGGGGCAGGCTGGCAGAGCCGCAGCGAGATCTTGGGGCCCTGATGGCGGGACGGGGCGGGGGGACCCTGACAAACATTGGAGCTGGGGGCCCAGGCCGCAGGCACCCCCTGCCTGGGCCCGGGGCTGTGTGTCTCCTCCCTGGGTGCCTCTGTCCCAGTCCCCTTTAGAGCAAGGGCACCGGTCACACAGGGTCAGGGCCTCCGATGGCCTCTGCACGGACCCTGTCCACACACGGTCACGCTCAGAGGTGCTGGGGTCAGGACTCTGCTGTGTGAATCTGGGGGCCACAGCTCAACCCACAGCAAAGGGCTCTCAAGCAATCCAGCCCCAGTGGTCACTGCCCCCTGTGCCCTGCAGGACCCCGCCGTCGTGACACCACCCCCGGCCGCAGGGAGGTGAGCACCGCTGAGGACACGGAGGCCAGGGTCCCCCAGGTGGCCTGGATGAAGCACCTCCCCCCCTCGGGCCCCAGCGAGCTCACAGAGAGGGGGACAGGCTCCCGTCCTCTTCAGGGAGGGCCCTGTGCACCCACTGTCTGTGACGTCATGTGACAGGGCGGTCCTAGCCCCCAGGGGCACCGTGGTCCCCTCAGCAGGGTGTCGAGAGCCGTGTCATGGAGGCGTCGGCATCAGATCTCTGCTCGCAGGACCCACTGTCTTTCCCTGCTTGTCCCCTCGGGCTCTGGGTGGTCCCTGAGCCCCCAGGTGGCCCAGGCCCCGCGGGAGTGGCCTCCCTCCAGCTCGGGTTACCTGTCCCAGGTGAGTGAGGAGGTGCTCCTCCCACTGCCCACCGGGCGCTTGCCTGCAAGCTCTGGGGTTCTGCCCGGGTCCCCAGAGCCCGGTCACGGCCCACACTGTTAGGCATGCAAATCTCTAAATGAAATCCAATTAATACC